ACAGATATTACAGACATCATTATTATTGTTATTATAATGCAAGTGGGGGAAGAAGGACTATTCTGGCATAATGTCTTCCTCTTTATGAAGCCTGTAGATGGAAGGTATATGTCAGTAGGCAGTACAAAAATAATTGTGAATATCGAGACATCCTTTAAAGATGGACCTTTTGTTACATATTTATTATGAAATTATTTGTTTGAAAATATTGAGCTCCAGACTATATTCATATATTTGAAACAAATTCCTAGATTCGGAGGCTTTATAAAATTTTTCCTACTAGTCAAGTCCCTGAAAGACAGGGAAGAGGATCATCACTTGCCACTCACTTGTCACTGAAGGACTTGACTTTTAGTTTCTGAGTGGAATGATTTCCTTCTTAATTTAAGTTCAGAATTAGATTCAGTTTCCCTGGAGCTGGCCAAACTATTGCCCATCACAGAAGTACAGAAATGCTTTAACACTGCCGAATAAACTAGTAACAATCCTTGCCTGTGTTCCATTAAGGTATGTGTCATATGTTTTATTCTTATAAATTTTGATAATTTCAAAGCTGAAATTAAAGGATAATATGATATGGGGAAAATTGTTAACTCATGGAGTGTTTAAGCTCTGTTTCAAATTATCTTATCTTTAAAAGGGCTTGGGCTGAAATATGACCAGTAATGACCAGTACACTTGATAAGGTGTCTGAGGAGGAATTTCCTGCCATTAAGATGTATACATATGCTCTGTGTAATCTGTGAAGACTGTACAGTACCAGAAATAAACTGAAGCAGAAAAGTGGAAGAAAAATATCCTGAATGCAAAACATTTCACTAAGAATTTAAAAGCAGGGCTAAAACACCCATACACAGTGGGAATACTTGGGTTTTTTTACAGCAACATATTCTTCAGTGTAACATACAGTACGAGGCCTCCCAGAGGACATTTACGAACACAGTTGTCTTTGATCTTAATGAAATCTCTGCTTGCTGAGGACACTGCTATCTACCTTGCAGTCACCAGGTAGCCTGGTTGCACAGGAAGAACCTCTTGCCTGTAGTACAGACACAGATAGTGAGACCCCCTTTATCTGTCTAAGGATACCTGGAATTTCCCCTACTTCAGTGTAGGAGGTATTACACTTCTTAGAGAAGCTTCTTTCTTCCACACAGCTGATGTTGTCATGATAGGTTTTTGAAGTAGCTAGGGACTTTGAGCCCATTTGACATAGTGGGAAAGAGGCTAAACTATGTGGGAGGAAGGTCTGATTTGGCTGCTTCAAAAAAAAAGTGGAATTGCTGAATAGATAGGTGATCAAAAGGTAACTATTTTTCTGAACCATGGTACATCAGAAACAGTAGATTTGTTTAATAAATGTAGAGGGGTAAGTCAATTGCTAGGATATTTTAATGAAAAAATGAAGGATTTACCTTCATCACAGAATGAAATTTTAGCAGGGCATAACTTTCCTGTGGGAGGTCAAAAGCAGGAGAAAACTCTATATAACTCTATAGCTAACTACAACAGGTCTCAATCAGATGTCTCCCCAAATCTATTACCTCTATATTTGGCTCTCCTACCTTGCCCTTCCACAATATTTAATAGCTTTATAACTGCTTCCCCTTTCTAACATATAAAAATCCACTGATTCTTAAATGGTCATTAATGAGAATGTAATCTGTCTTGTCTGAGGTTCACTGGGAGATGGTATAGCCCTACAGTGAGCTATTCTTCACATTCCTCCTGCATAGCCTTTGTGAGGATACTGATTTTACATCTCTCTCCACTCTAATTTCCTGTTCGCTCTGTAGTATTGCATCTATTAGTCACAGAACGTTGGAAAGTATAAGACTCTGCAGTAGGAGTACTCTGAGGCTTACAAATAGCCATAGAAAGGTTCTAGACCTTTGGGTGTAATGGGCTGTAAAAGATGTGATTTATTGTTTCTTCCAGTTACTGAAACCTAATGTTCAACCTACCTTCTGTGGAATTCAGTGATCTGTAGATGTTTGTATTTTATAAATTGTTTGAATAAGTTGTGATTATTTTCCTTTTAGTGCATCATAATTCCATGTTAAAGTGCAAACTCTTTTCACAATTATTTTTTAACATTCAGTTCAAAATTGCAAATAATACAGATTTATTTTTATTTTAAAAATTATTTTTTAAAAATTAAATCTGTGACCATTAGTAGTGAAAACCCAGATGAATAATTTCTGTTCCTTCATGTTAAATCAGCCTAAAACTTAAATAAAAAATAAGATATTACCTTTGTTTATGGATAAACAGAGTAATAGCTTATATTATACACATCCAGATCATGGATATATACCTATGTAATTTATGCAAGAGAAAGAAACTTGAAGAAACAAAAAAGTTAATTTCAAACTATACTTAAGGTAAGGGATTTGGCAATATTACAAAAGACAATTTATACCTTTGTTTCTAATTTCCACTAAAAAATATAAACCCTAACATATATATATACACATATATATGAAAAACTACAGGATGACATAATTCTTAGGGGAATATCTTCCTTTCTCAGGTGTGGTTGTAAATTTTGCAGGCAAATGATTGATTATCCTAATAATATCTAGGAATTAGTTTCAAAAGGTGCTGTGAAAAAGTGAAATTTTTATGCTCAAGATATTTTTATGGCCAGAAAAGAAACTCATCTTGTATGTAAATTCAATAGTTTATTGTTAGTATAATTTAAATCCTGTCTACTTGAAGATTTATTAGATCATTTCTTATTATTACAGGAAAAAAAAAGAAATAAAAAATAACAAAAATGGTACTACCACGGAAGAAATTTCCATACACATATTCTTGATATTTAGCACTCTTGTCCTATTAAGGTTGATTTTCTAACTCCTAGATCTGAAGATTGGCTTAGTCATGGGGAGAGAGTACAGCTAGTTAATACATCCTTAGTCCTTCATGGGTACTCATGTGGATATTTTATTCCTTTTCATCTAAAACTCACATAGGGACATTTTTCTATGGTTGCCAACTTGCTCACAGCTTGATATTTGTTTACTGTTTTTCAAGTGCATGCTTCTTCTGGAATTACTAATTATGGTGCACTTTACATATGTTAGTTAGATGTTCTTTGTTCTCTTTGATGCCTGTAAAACTGATTTTGACAGCTCTTTACCTCATTTGCTGTCCATTAGTGTTTTGTTTATAGCCATTGGGTCTCCATGTGTCCTTGTGTCCTATTTCTTTCCATTGTGTGTCTGCCCCTCTCTACACTACATATTGTGTCTCATCATTCAAGGTCACTTTTGTCACACCACAGCTATATTCCTCTATGTTATGTTGTTTGTTAGAGTAATAAATATTTTATTATATACAGAAAAACTGCTTGTTACTACTACATAATGAAAATTGTACTCTAGAAAGACAAGCAAAAGCAAAATGAAATGGACATAGTTTCTTGGTCATTTCAAAATTTACTGCTTTCCATTGCTTCACAAATCTAAATGGCTACTGGACTGCAGACGTAGCTTTGAATCATTCAAGTAGTATGGGGTAGAGCTGTAATATCACTTAGGTAAATTCTTATCCATGAGGCTGGGCTACAAAAGGTTGATGAGAACAGCAGCAGAATTTCTCCCTTTTGCTGATTTTTTTTTTTTTTTTTAATATGCAATGTAAGTTAAAGCCACTCTCCAGCCCCTGAATTCATTGCCTTTCTAGGTAAAATTTTTAGTTGGAACTCTAAGGCTAATACAGTGAGGGAAGATTGTTCATAACTCTCAAGTGCATTAGCTATGAAACTGGTAGTTAATTCTACCACAGTGCTTTGGGAAGATGAACTTTGGGCATCTAATATGATTCCTGTCCATGACATAGACAGGTCTGACTAGGACGTTTAATTGACTTTTATTTATTTGTTTGTTTCTGTTTGACTACATCCAAAATTATTTAATAGATGTACTTCCTAGCTGCTGACTGTTTCCCAGGAAAATGGGTAAAGTAGAAAGTAATTTAGAACATGAAGACATTCTCCTCACTGCTTTAGTCAGAATGAAAGATTGAGAAAGTCAAAAGAAAAAGTGTTTGAGAACCTAATTCAGATTGGGTACAAGAAAATGAAAAAAGGAAGAGCTTTAAGATGATATAACTGTGTTAACTGCTTAGTTAATAAAGACTTCTGCAGGATAAAGACTGGTTTTCGGCCTTCATGTGAAAATTAATCCAAAAGCTCATGTAACATCACAACAGTAATTTTTTGGGATTTTTTTTTTATGGGGGTGAGGTTGGAGTTTTTCTTTGCTTTTCTAATTGAGGATGCTAACAATTGTTCAAGTTTTTTAAAACTGTTGTGATTTCTCCATTATTCGTTTAATTTATTGATTGAGTAGTTGAAACAAGTATTATTTTAAGGAAATCTTATGCTGTATTTTTTTAGGATAATAAGCTAAACGGTGGCACATGCCTCTAGCATAATAAGTAAATAAGTACTTTGAAAATGAAACAATCAACAAAATTGTTATTGCATGTTGTCTGGAAAAGGTCACTCCAAAAAAATAATACTATGAGAAAACATCTTTAGAAAAATTCTCATGAGGTAGTTTAAATTCAACAACAGAAATTCTTTTGTATTTCTCCCATTATAGATGAGTATACATAAACATAAAAGGCTGACAATGTAAAGTTGTAACTTTTCCATTTTTCCCAGTACTATCCTTTCTTTAAAGGCTGACAGATAATAAGGAACCTTTAATTTCTCTTGCTTTATTGTCGTTGTTGTAAGAAATAGCATTTTTTTATCCTCTTATGAACAACATAAAACAAAGCACTTTTGAATCCTGTTTCAATTCTGGAGCAAGACTGATATCTCAGATTAAATTCATAAAGCCAGCCAACGCTGCCATGTCATGTAAAGTTCAAGGAATGAAACATAAAGAGTCAAATGAACATATGTCTACACAGAAGAAGGTTTGAGAGATCTAAGACTTCAAATACAGCTCTACACATACATGTAACTTTTTTTTTCTCCACAGATTACTGAAGAGGAGTCCTATTACATTTTGATTCACCTCAGCTCCTGAGCATCATCAGTTTTCACTCATACAAGACCTATTCTGTGGAGATAATTTCTGTTTTGAAAGACAACTTCCCTACAGCCAATTTGGAGAGTTGAGGTAGTGGATGTTTAAACTAAACTCTTTTTGGGACATGTTTATGAACTTTATTGTTTACCTTTATTAGTTTATAAGGTTCAAATCAAACAGAGATGCTCTCAACAGCAATTTAAACTGAATAAACTTACAAATGGAACACAGATTAAAAAAACAAATCTAGTTTTATGGATAATATTGTTGTGTTCCTCATAATGAGTTAGTGGATGGTTTTGAAAGTGTCTACCACTCTTTGTAAATGTTTTTAAATAGTCACTGCAGTATACTCTTAACCTGAATGCACTGAATAGCTCTTTAAAAATCATTTTTGTCGCATGTTTAGTGGCATATAGTTAGCTCTGGAGATCTTTGCAGACAAGACACAAAGTCTATACTGCACTTCTAACCTCTCAGGTATTTCAGTATGACCTGGTCTAGTCCTTGAATATGGTGGGTTTGTTGCAGGAATCTGAAAGCACAATCACAAGGCAAACCTCGTGAAAGTCAAGGATAATGTCCCCTTTTAGAAGTCAAAGTTTGTTCCCAACTTATATTAAGTGTTTTGTGTAACTCAGTACATACTTTGCTAGAGTATTTGAAAAAATACAAATCTGTATTAATGAAGCAGTTGAACAAGAAAAGTGGTGTGCTCATTAAGAACCTGTTGATATACAAACCACTGTTATACAGCAGCTCCAGGTATGAGTAATTTGAATCTGATATTCATTATACAGATGAATGATGGTTATTCACTTTAAATTTATCATGAATATAGCCACAGATGAAAATAAGATGGAGTGAACATCTGTGGTTATCTGCTAACTGGTGTGATCTGTCATTTCATAGCTGAATGACTTATGATCATGTAGTTCAGAACACCTCTAATTAATTTTTGACTTGAGTCTTTATTCTCAACCTCAAACTATGGTTTATTAATGGGTTAATATAAAGAGCTTGCTATAGTGTAATTTGTGGCAGCTCATATTTGGAAGCGTTGCTGGATGTCAGGTATTTTACCTGCCTACCCAACTAATTGAGAATCATATCAGAAAACCAGAGAGCCATTGTAATGAATGAGACAGGCAGTGACCTCCAAACAGACATAACTGAATTAAAATCGGTGAACTTGATATGAGTAGATTCACAGTGTCATTTTAAATACAAAACAGTTTAACTCATTTTCTTGCTCTGGAAAATGTATTGTATCCACTAAATGCATAGGAAAGATTGGCAGGTGAATTTTATCTTTTTTTTTGTTTGTTTGTTTTTCTGTACGAGCCTTATAAGAATAGCAGATTTATTGAGGGATATTTCTTATATAAAAGATTTTGGCTCTGAGTGCATGCAAAGCATACATTCTGAAATCTAAGAGGTGTCTTCCTCAATATCTTTGAGGACCACAGGGTGATAGGAGGAGAGAAGAGAGGTTCTTTTCTCAAGATATAAATGCAAAATTATTCTTTCTCTTTCTTACCAAAGAACACAAAAGATAAGTTTAAGCCATAATTTTGTTTGAGCATTTAATTTTCCACAGATTTCTGTTTCTCAAAATAACTATTTTTAGGCTAAATAATTTTGTATACTGTATCAGAATTCTTTTAGTCTTTAGACTGGAGGCTTGTGGTATTCCAATTTTGATAAATAATTAGGACCACTTATGTAGATATTCTTCCTACATAAATCTATAATACCAAGTGACATAACAAACTTCTGTTCTGGCAGCCTTTGTGCCTGATGTTAGCTTCATCCTCTATTGCAAGAGAGCAGAACTAAATCTTGTGTCTGTTTCTTAAATCCATGTAGTTCATTCCTAATAAATGATAAAGTTCTCACTTATAGAAATTTCTATGTAAAAGATAATATAAATTTCCAGTGAAACACAAATTGCACTGTATTTTAATACATGTATATGATGGTTTAACCCCGCCCAGCAACCAAGCCTCATGCAGCAGCTTTCTCACTCCCCCACCAGCAAGATTAGGGAGAGAATCAGAAGGGTAAAAGCTAGAGAACTCACGAGTTCAGACGAAGACAGTTCAATAGGGAAAACAAAACCCATGTACAAAACCAAATAAAAACAGACTTAATTTCACTACTTCTTATGGGCAGATAGTTTTTTAGCAATCTCCAGGAGAGCAGGGCCCCATCAGGCATAATGTTTCCTTGGAAAGGCAACCACCATCACTCAAAAAGTTCCCCACTTCCTTCACCTTCCCCACAGTTTTAAATGCTGAGTATGATTTCATATGGTATGGAATATCCCTTTGTCCAGTTTGGGTCACCTGTCCTGACTGTGCCTTCTCCCAGACTCCCATGTCAGTATGGCAGTATGAAAAGCAGAAAATTGGCTCTGTGGAGTCTCTGACAATCAATAATAAAAACAGCTCTATATTATCAACCCTGTGTTCAGCACAAATCCAAAACACAGCCCTATACTAGCCACGGTGAAGAAAATTAACTCTACCCCAGCTGAAACCAGCACAACTTCCATAAACAGGAAAGATAATTTTGTATAATGTTATGCTTAAGGAGGAGCTGCTTATTTAATGGCAACGAATATACCCTCAAAACAATATCTTTGGTAGTCCATGTTCTCAGTGAAGAGGCTGAATAAGCACGAAGTGTGAAATAAAGCAGACTTAGGGAAAACACTAAGCTTCCATGCCTAGAGTCCCCTGAATTTTTTTCTCGTCTTTGAGGTCAAGGAATACTTTTATCTTTCCCTTCACAAAATGCAAAATATCTGCTTTTTTTCTTTTTTCCCCCTGAGATTCTGCTATTTCCCCTATTTCTATTTGTTCATTTCTGTGGATTTATCTTTTGTTGAATTTCTCAGGAATAAGGGTTACATACAAAACTGTTAAATCAGAATAGCTGGCACATGTCAAAGTCATTTTAAGTTAATCACTCAGATAAGTGGAGAACAACACAACAAAGCTTACATAAACAATAGAAATCTCTCATGTATATTTTTGAATAGGCCATGTCATTCTCTTTATAGTATCTATCTTTACCATAGATCTTGGCATAGTGATTAGATTTAATAGACCTGTTCAGAATTTTTCTTTCCAGTTTAGATGGAAAAAATTGCACTAGTTAGGAAAAACAATTCCTAAAATGGGTTGTATAGGGGGGTTTGTATATTGTTATTTTAGATGATCTGAAATTCTGACTGTTGTAACAGTGATGGACAGGAATAAAAGTAGCAGTGATTTGCAAAAATACAAATCTGCGATGCCTTTCAAACGTGAAGATATCAACAGTCTAACATTCTGACAAAGTAGAAGGACCTGACACAAATTAGTCGTTTTCTCTGTGTGTAGAATTTGACAATCCTTAAACGGCTCTTACTGGATAAAAGAAAACCAGAAAAATGACCTTTATCTTTGTCACCACTGCAAATCTTACTGTTCCACTGTTCCAGTGATGCATAGAGGTGGAGATAACGGAGATGAGTACAATAGACTTTTCCACAGACTGAGTTTTCCAGGTCATTTAATTCTCTCTAGTGTGTTCAGAACCTTTCCAACAGAGCTAATGATAACAGATTGCCACATTATCCTACTCATGGTGACCTGTTTGGGTACCTGCCAGAAATTCTACTCACTCAAAACTGTAGGCAAAAAAGAATGTTTGCTGACTTCATTTCTAATGCTTATTATAATTTATTCCAGGGGAAAAAAATATTGTATTATTGAGTGCTTCATGTGTTAAGTAATGATTCAATTATTTTGAAAATTGATACTTAACTCTGGGTTGCTGCTCTGCTGCAACTGGTTCAGAATTTTCCTTATGGCCTCTGGCCTTCTGCCAGGTTACGTTCCGTGGGGATCGTTCTCCCAGTCTAACAAGGTTGTTTTTTCAGCATATAACCAGCTAAAGCTATCCACACTAACTCTCTCCTTGCTAAAAAAGAAAGGTGATGAATGTAAAATTTTTCCTGGGATTTTTTTGTGTGATTACTTTTGGGCTCTGTAGGCTTAGAAAAGTGCAAAGGAGACAGTCTCACCACCTGTACATATTGTGGTTTTCAATCTCTTTATAATTTCATGATTAGGATACGATTTTTTTGTTCACGAAATTAATCACTTTGGATTTTACCCTGATTTTTTGTATCTCTAGCTTCACATAATTTTCTGAGAACCAGGAAGCTTGAAGTCACCTACACCATGTGTTTTTTACAATTAAATAAAAAGAGCCTGAATTTAATTATTAGTTAAAGAAATTTTGACTACTTGAATATTCAGTGTTTCGCCAATCCAATCAGAGCAAAACAATTTTCTTAAAGAGATTTTTCCTGGTAGTTCTGCTTTTGAGATAACTTGCTCTTGCATGTTACGTACCTAATTTTGAAGAGCTAAAGGCATCTAAAATTTTAAATGTTTACTGTTTCTGCAAACTCATTTCTAATCTTGTGTATTTGAAATTAAATATTTTATTTTGTATTGGGTTTTTTAAACTACATTTAAATTCCTGTAGAAATACTGGGTACATCATACTTTTCCCATATTAATGCATAAATCATGTTAAGGTAATACCAAAGGTTACTTTCTATATATCAATGACTCAGTTAGACTTTCCACATATAAGTATTTGTTTTCTAACTTAAGACTGTTGTTTAAGCTTACATTAAGCACGCAAGTCACCTGCATGCTTTACCTTGATTATAGAACTTTACCTTGATTATAGAACTAAAATACTAGAGGTGGAAAATGCCACCAAACCTATTTGGTATGTAATTGTTCTAATCAGAAAAGGTTTCTTTTGGAGTCTGTTTCACATATGAAGGGCTCAAATTTTGATAATACATCAAAAGTTTTGCCTTCTGGTTGCAAAGTGTATCAGTTCAGCCACTGCTTTGCTAGCAGCTGAATCATCTCATAGGAGTAACAACTTTCTTCTCAAGGTGCTGAGAGCAACATAGGCTAGAGAATCACAGGTAATAGGGTTAATAGAATCACACTATTTACAAAAATAAGGTTTGAACGGTTTGGGGCTTATATGACTGATATCTTGTTACGAAT